CTCCCTTGTGGGGCCTTCAGGAGGCACCTGCCACCCCCAGCCTGGCACATAGTGAGCCCCTGAGAGGCCAATGACTGAAATATAGCCCAGAACACAGCTCTGCTTAGAGGTGGATGGGATCTGAGGACTCATTTCCAAAGTCACCTTTTCATGCCAGGTGTGGTGGCACATGCCTAGAATCCTAGCACCCAGGAAACAGGCAGGAGGATCACTGATACTTCGAGGGCATATCTAGATCCCATCTCAAAAAACAAAACTCAAAAAAAGGTCATTTTTTTGTTTTTTTTTTTTAATTTTATTTAAAAGGAAAAAGAGAAAAAAATAAAACAAAACAAAGAGGTGTAAGGGTACAAGTAACACAGAACTACAAAAAAAAAAAAAAACCAGTAAGAAATCACCAGTTAATAGATTACACATTATCATCTTAGAGATAGTTGCTCAAGTCATAGTATCAAAGCATACAAAGTGAACATTCAAACAGAGAGACTGCAAACAGTTGTGTTCAATGATCCAACCAAAAACATTAATATGGTCAGCTATTTAACACCCCTAAACACACTTGCTGTTGTATCCTTTCGAGCACTTTTTTTCCCTCTCTTTTTTACAACAAAATTTACACATTTTGAGTTTTATTACTTCTTAGTTCCTATTACTTTTTTTTTTTGGGAAGAGAATAAAGTCAAATATGGCAAAACAAAGCTGTCAGTCAAAACCAAGGATGGACATAGTACATGATGTAAAAACAGAGTACAAGGTTATCAACAATGGTTACCATAATGCCTCTTGTTTCCTTAAAAAGAATTGTCTATCTCATTAGGTATTATAAAGTTGAACAAAACAGTAGAGAATAAGACCAATAAAACTTAAACATTGTAAACATTACAGGACTTCCAAAGGAGATAATAGTCAAACCAGAATGGGCATCTTAGTGAACATTTTTTCATATTTGATAATAAAAAGCCCTTACCAAACGCATGTATTGGTTGGGGGATGGGCTGACCTGAGTTTCAAACCCAACCCCACCCTTTTCCAGTGGAGTGGCTGCTGGCTGTCACCTCCCCTCTTTGGGCCTCCTCCTTGTATTCCTGCCTTCCTAGGTCTGTGGCATTTTCAAAGAGAGCATCCCGGAAACTCTTGGTATGGTGTGTGGCACAGACTTGGTCAGTGGGGATTTTGTAACCAAACTAGGCCTGTTTTGTACCATCCCCCAGCCCCTGCCCATCACTGGACCATGTGTTCCAGGATGACTAAGCATGGAGTGGGAGCCCCACAGCCTCAAATCTGCCTCCCAAGGGTGGAGTTTGGGAAGATTCATAGGGTGCAGATGCAGGGCACCTAAGATGTGGGGAAAGGTTTGGCAGTTTATGCCCACGCATCAGTCTGCACGGTTTTTCACACAGCACATGTTCAGAATACGGAGGCACTGGATGGTCTGGGGATGGAGATCCTGGGGCCTGATGTCAAAGGTTACCACTAGACACCTGCACCAGCTCATAAGAACTGGGAGTTTGGGCAAAACCACTATCAAGTTCCTGAAAAGTGTCCTAAGCCACCCTAATCATCATAGTCCACAGAGGCGTTGTCTACTGCAGAGCTCATGTGAGATAATGATACAAGACGCAATGGAAACCTACAGTAGTGCTGCGGCCGAGTGCCACCGATGGAAAGTCAAGACCTTCAATATGAAATCCCACAGAGCCTGACACTGTGGGAGATGTCCCAGCTTGCTCGGTGCAGTCACAGGATTATGAGCTATGCTTGAGAGAATCGTGTCCTATGGGGTGCTGTACATCACCCATCAGTGTGAGACTTTTGTCCATATCGTGGGAGTTGCTTGGTCCTGCTGCTTCAGATTGATTGCAGCTTTTTAAGAAATGCTATCACAGGAGATGACCCTTGGGGCTATGGTTATTATCTTGGGACCAAGGGTCAGAGCGTTCCCAATGGAAATCACCCACATTTTGTATGAAAAAGCACATCTATCAAGATCCAATGTCCAGGTGTGCCATGGCTCAGCTCCTAGAGCTGATGTAGACCTGACAACTATCAAGGTGATGTCGACTGTGTTCTTTGACCTTGGTAGAATGTTGTGAGCTGAGCCTGTATCCAAGAACACTACCATAAACTCTATTATCAGGACTTAATTAGAGCATTTAAGAAACGATGTGTGCAGAAAACAGCCTGAGACACTGGCAAATGGTTTTATTTTCCATCATGACAATGCTCCATGTCACACATTGCTTCTGGCACAGCAATTTCCATCAAATAAAAACCATGACAGTGCATCCTCTCCCACCTTATTCCCCGGATCTAGCACCATGTGACTTCTGGCTCTTCCTCAAAGTCAAAATAACCATGAAAGGGAAATACTTTGAGTTAATTTGGGACCCTGAAGCAGCTACAACAACAAAACTAAAGACACTCATGAAAGAAGACTTTCAGAGCAGCTTCTAAAAATGGCAAAAACAGTGAGATGTGTTCAAAGTGAGGGGGAGGCTTATGAGGGGAATTGATGGCAATGTGTCTTTTACTGTAACAAATTTTCAAAAACAAACATTCATTGCCTTGTTTTACTGCATGTTATCTTCAGCCGTGAGACCTGCACAATTAGGGGTTTTTAAAGCCAACTACAATCAAGCGATGAAGAGGAAGCAGGAAGGGATGTGACTGTGGGCTGGAGGGTGGTGGAGGTGGGGTTTTGTTCTGCTATGGGGCCTCAGAGACCAAGGTCTTATTCTTTTGATGGCTTCATTCCTAAGAATAGCTCTGAGGCCTTGGGGAGCCCTAGCTGTGAAAGGTGCATATGGTCAACTGTAGTCCTTCCTGTGGTCAGTGCCCAGGGCACAATGTGACCCATGGATCGATTTTGAACGCACAGAAGGCAAAGCTGTGGGGAGACAGAGGCTGGGTATGGGTCAGATGCAAGAGGTAGGGTGGGTAGGCTGGGGTTAGGATTCACTGGCGTGGTTCTGGCCCTGGATCTTGGATGGTAGGTCTGCAGTAGAGAGGTTTTGGGTGGAAATATTGGTTCCTCCTTTCCTCGGGTTCCAAGAAGACCCCTGAGGAACAGGAAGAGGACAGGGAGGAGGGAGAGGAGGAGGTGCAGCTGGGGGTGGGCAGGAGGAGGTGCAGCATGGAAGGGGGCTGGGCAGCCCTGGGTCAGGTGCTTCCTCGGAACAGCCCTGTCACCAGTCACCATGCCTATGGCTCATGATGCCCTGTGTGTGCTGGGGACAGAAGTCACCAGCGTCCGCACTCTGGGGACTGCGTTCCTAAGAACTCAACCTGTGGGCTGGTGCTGCTTTCTTCTGGTTCCAGGATGGCCAGCGTAGGTCTGCATGGTTTGTCTCCCGCTCTGGGGCCTCAGCGAGGGCAGGGGAAGGGACCCTGAGAGAAACCAGGACCTCTTCTCACCCTGACCCCATCCCGACTGGGGCCCTTCCTCTCCTTTGTCCTCTGCGGGTCTGTGGTTTCCTTCCCAGCAAGGACAGGGACTGAGGCTCCTGTTTGTTTTCCTCGCCTACTACTGCGGCTTCCAACCTGCAGTCCAGAGGGAGGACAGTTGTGCAGGAAGAGGCAGCGGGGTCCATTGGTCACTTAGCCAGCAAGCATTGTGCACAAAAACCAGAGACAAGACTGGGTCCTACAGCACCAGGCTGGATGTGGGACAGACACCATGGCCCACAGGAGCTCGCAGGGCGGTATACTGGGGGAGACAGGAGTGTGGGGACCTCTGTGCTATGCTGGTGGGCGAGGGGTGGGCCGACCTGTAGTGAGGGCCTGTTTGCCTCTGCCTGTGTCTGATTCTCTTGACATCTTAAAGTCTCCCCAGAGCTGGTTCCAACACCTCTTCCTGTAGGAAGCTCCCCGCAATTTTCATGAAGTACTCTCCTCTCATGCCCATAATTTGAGGGGCTGGGGGCAGGGGAAATAGGCCCAGCTTTGCCTGGTAGACAGGTTAAGTGTGTCTGACCTTGAGCAGGGCCCAGTGACCTCTGTGGGGTGGGCATATGATGCGTGTGATCCTTTCCCAGCCTCCGAGGCTTTAGAGGGCAGTGCAGATTCAGTGCTGAATCTCAGGGCTTGCCTGGTGCCCAGTTGCTGGCCCGAGCACCCCAGAATGGGGGCCAGATGACTCAAGAGTGAAAGAGCCCCTGTCTCACACCAGGACTCATCTCCTCACTGAGTTAGGAAGGTTGGGAGCAGGTGCCTGGCCCTGGGCGAGGGGGCCCCTGATCTCTGCAGCCCTACACAGCCCCCAGCTGCTGCATGCAGCTCAGCCTTCTACCCAGAACCCAAGATACCTCAAGATGCCCCTTATGCATTCCTATGGGAGTTGATCCAGGGCTGGGGTGGTTCAGGGGTGATGGCCTTGTGTGTGAGGCCCTGGGCTCCTTCCTTAGCACTAAAAGGACAGGAACAAGGTAGGGACATGGCAGTTCTGGCCATGCCCTGGTGCCCACCTTGCAAAACTGGGCTTTCAAGAGGTCTGTCCTAGCTGTGCAGGTGGCTACCACAGAGCTGGGTACATGTCCAGTGTCTCGGGACCCACCATGCCATTGTTATCCCAGAGGCCAGGGTTGGGGAGTGACACTGGCTGGATGGCTCGTGATCAGTGCCTGGCCACCACGCCAAGCTGGGTCACTGCACAACCATTCTTCCTTTAGACAGTGAAATGATGGGGCTAAAGTAGCACAGGGTACCCTCGTGGGTGTAAACTGCAGGGCTGACGGGGGTCCCAGGGCCTTGGCAGTGTCCCATGTTGGTGCTACTGTGTGCTGGACTATGAGCTTTGACACCAGGCACAACCTGTCCAGTTGCTTGTCATCTCTGCCAATGTGAATGACCTCTTGGGTGCATCGTGAAGTCACAGCTAGATTCCAAGAGCTTGACCTTGAAAGGCTACTCCAGGTGTGGCTAAGGGATCCCCAGTGAACCAGGCCAACACCCTGCACTGCACCCTGCCCCAAGCTCACATGTCCCTGTGTCCTGTGTTTCAGGGCAGGGACTCCGTGGTCCACACAGGCTATGAGGTGCTGCTGCAGCGGCTGCTGGATGGTGCAAAGATGTGCAAGGATGTGGAGGAGCTGCTGCGGCAGAGGTGCGGGGCAGCCAGGGTGGCCAGGGTGGGCCCCTTTTCTCTGGGCTGCTGCTGGGCACCCTGCTCCAGGAAGCCAAAATTCAACAGCAGTCCTCAGTCTGGAACCCACACATCCCCAAAGTGCAGAGGTTGGGCCCCAGCTTCTGCCAGCAGCTGTCCTGCGGAAGGCCAGCAGAGGAGCCTGAGAGAAGACAGCAATGTCCACTGTGCCTCACAGGGCCCAGGCAGAGGAGCGGTACGGAAAGGAGCTTGTACAGATGGCACGGAAGGCAGGAAGGCAGACTGCGATCAAGTAAGCACCCAGCACAGCTGCAGTCCCTGCTGGGCTGGGGTTTTGGGACTTCGTCTCTTTGGTGTTCTGCTGCAGAGTAGCCGGGAAGAGCCGGGGAATCTGGACTACTCACAGATGCAGGCCCTGTGTGGTGCCTGGTGACTGAGCTGAGGTGCTAGCGGGGAGGACCCATCAATGCTCTCAGACTCTAGCTGCTCACAGCCCAGCCAGCACCAGTCCAGCAGGCCCATTTCAGTCCTAGCGGTCAGAAATGGCCCTGTCTACCTGTCCCAGCTCCTGCAGCGATGCCTCAGACTGGGCTTCTAGGATGGAGAGTTAGTCAGGTGGGGACACACTGGGGCTCTGGGGCCTGTTCCTCTCCCACGAGGATGGGACCTGGGACACCACTGTCACCTTCAGTGGTAAGATAGGAACATCCCCTTCCTCAGCAGGTTAAATGGTCCAGGGTTCAGCTGGAAGGGTGCCCTGGGGAGTGGCCATGATGAAGTGTGTGCCTGCCTGGGTGGGGGACAGAGAGGATAGCTGAGGTTGGACACTGGAGCTGGGGGTCAGAGTAGCTTTGGGAAGGTGTGGACACTCCTAAATGGGTCAGAGGAGGCTGGTGCTCAGAGTGCTGGGCTAAGTTCTGAACAGGGGACTGAGGCCTGAGCCTGCAGAGACACCATGTCCTCTCCCCTGGCTCTTCATGCCAGAGAAACCCTGGGGAGGCCAGAGGAAGCCTGAGGAGTGTGGGAGCTGGGGAGATCACACTCGGAGGCCCAGCATGGGGAAGAGCATGCAGGCCTGTGCTTACCCACTAGCAGCACTGTGCCCCTTCCTAGCCCATGTCCCATCTGCCTTCGCCCTGGACTGGGATGCAGTGGCCAGGGGCTGGGAGTAGGACCAGGGAGAGCTGGATTTTCCAAGAGAAAACTAGGGCCAGGCCAGGAGGGTGGGAATTAGGGCCTGTGAGCCATCCCCAGGGGACTGTTAGTCACTGGGACTCATAGTATGAAAGGAGAAGCTGATATCTGTGAGGAGTAGCTGAGCTAGGGGGATGGAAAGGCTGAGCAAGGCTCTGACTTAGTTTCCCTTTCTGGGCCCTTATGATGATGGCAATGTCCACAAAAAAAGGACCTTAGCAGGGTGGGGTGGTGCACACCTGTAATCCCAGCATTTGGGAGGCTGAGGCAGGAGGATCACCAAGAGTTCAAGAGTAGTCTGGGCTACATAGCAAAACCCTGACTCCAAAAAACCAGAAAGAAGGAACCCTCAGGCCTACAGCCCAAAACTTGGCCCCCAGAGCAGGCTGAGAGGGAAGCAGGAGAAGCCAGCAGCGGCCGGGTTGGGCAGGACATGCAGTGGCTGGCACTACTTGTGGCTGGGGGTCCTGGCAGGGCCCATCCTGTGATCCCCCTGCCAGGGCCACGGTGCAGTTCTGCTGTCTGCACAGAGCAGCCTCAGTGGTTCTTGCTGCTGCCCAACATGGCACACACCAGGGTAGTGAGGCTGCTGTCACTCCTTTAACTGGGCTGAGTGGCCATCAAATGTTCATTTGTCCTGAAAGCAACTATGGAGCACCTTCTGTGTGCCATAGGTTGAGACAGAGCCCAGATCAAGGAGAGAGATCCTCTTCCTCCTCCTCCCCCTCCAGGAAGTCCTCATGGTCTGGGCCTGTTATCCACAAGCCACCCTCTGTGCCAGCCTGGAGGCTCCTTGTAGGAGGTGTGAGTGGGCACCATGTTGGCCCATGGCATAGACACATGTGAGGGAGGCCTGGCTGGTGGCCCGGCCCTAAATAGGGGAGCCCAGGTCTGTGGGGAAGACTCTCTTAGTGGCTGGAGGATAACGAGCAGAGGGGGATGGAAAGGAAACCAGGGTTCCCACACCTCAGCTCTGCAATGTCCCTCAGCTTCAGGTGGGAGCTTCCTTTGAAGCCCCATGTGGTAGAGCACTGGGACATCTCTGCCATCTAAATATGACTGTGGCACAAGCCTCTTTTGCAGGCTATTAACTCAGGGGCAATACGGGACACAGGGAAGCTTATCCACCCAGATGGGGCTCCCCTTTCTCTCCACCCTCTTTGTACCCCATAAGCTTGGCTGTCTCCTGCTTACCCTGCCTGGCAGTGACAGGCTGGGTGTCTGGTTCCCGGAAGCTCATAGGCCAAGGTCGGAGCATCGAGGTAGGCAGGGCTGAGCCAGCTTCCTGTGAGGTCAGCCCTTTAAAGGGTGTGGCTCGAATTTCTCTCCTTTTGCTATAGACCTAAAGTACTGCGGTTTTCCCAAAAATACTTTTTGTGATTGCTGTTCTGTTCTGCTCAGCTCAGCTCAGCTCAGCTCAGCTCAGCTCAGCAAGAATGAAGCCATCCCTGAGGAACTGATGAGCAGCAAGCCCATCCTGGATGCCAGCTCCCCATCGGCACAGCTCTCTGTGCAGGGAGGCGCTGGTTAGGTCATCTGAGCCAGGTAGAAAAAGGATAGGAATGCCAAAGCAGGGACTTGAGGTGGCACAGGCCATGTCAGGGGAGAGGACAGGAAGAGCTCTTTCTACTGGGAAGCTAGACTGGTTTGAGGTCAGAGTGGCAGGCTGAGCTTCCTGAAAGGCAAGCCTTCTCTGAGCACCACCTGCCTGGGGAGACCAGGTCTGACCTTGGCCCCCTCCTGCTTCAGCCTCATTCTGGATACCGAGAGGAGATAATTTGAGGGAGAGGGCATCAGGAGGGATGCAGAGGCGAGGGCATCCCTGCTTCCCTCCTCTGCCACAGTGGAAAGGTTGTTTCTCTGTAATTCCCACAGAGAGCTTCCCCTTCCAGAATATCCAGGATGGGTTTATGTGGATGATCATGATTCAGTTACTACATGGGTCCCTTGCGTCATGCCCCCCCCATAAAAGAGCACCAGGCCACCTAGGATTTCAGATTTACACACATGGTCTCCCTGGCGACCAAGTCTTTTCTGTCTTGCAGCACCTTACGGGCCTCCTTTGACTCCTTGAAGCAGCGTAAGTCCCTACTATCCCCACCTCAAGCTGCAGGGTAACTAAGGGGTGGGCATCTGCTAGGAGAGAGGCAGGCTGTGACTGGCTTTGCAGTAAGCTACGAGGCTAAGGGAGGGTGTTGGAAGGGAGATAAGAACAGGGGAGTGGTGCCGGGCGGGCTGGGTAGGAGAGCTGTGGGAGGCTGAGGCAGGCTTGCCCTCAGATATGGAGAACGTGGGCAGAGCACACCTCCAGCTGGCCCTGACCCTGCGAGAGGAGCTGCGGAGCCTGGAGCTGTTCCGAGAGCGGCAGAAGGAGCAGAGGCGCAAGGTGAGGCAGTGTGGCCCAGGCTTCAGGTGGGGTGACCAGAGCGGTGTGGGCATGGCCAGGCAAGCAAGAAAGAATGGTGCTGGATCTGACTGTCCTGCCACAGGGATTGCAGGGCTCGGGGATAGCATGGAGGTGTCCAGAACTAGCCTGACCAAGGGATCCCTGGACACCAGCCCTGGGCCTCAGGGTAGGGGTAGAACAGATTGTGGGGTGAAGGCTGTGGGTTAGCTGAGCAGCCGAAGCCCCTTCTCACCAGTGCAGGGATGGCTGGCCTTGGGGTAACAGGCAGGAGGCATGTGAACAGAGGCTGCAGGGCCTTGTGGATTGTGGCACCTGCTTCATGGGAGGGGTAGGTGGAGGCTGGTTATCAAAGGAAGGAAGGGGCTTTGCTAGGCAGGGTAACAGACGCTCCTGACACAGAGAGAAAGGAGTATTTGCAGAGTTAGAATGGGCATGGAAAAACAAGGATGCTGCTGAGGGAAGAAAGCTCCTTTCCAAAGTGGGCCAGGCTGGGTCACTTTTCCTCCCTGTGCCTGTTTTCCACCGTAGCATGGGACTTTATCCAGCTCGTAAATGTTGAGAACTCGATTCACAGACAGAGTTGAGGCTGTAGGGCAAAAATTCATTGCAGCCCCATCAGCCCACTGCAGGGAAGTAGAGCTGCAGCCTATTGCAGGGCAGTGTCCTGTGTGAGGACTTGAGCACACAGAGCACCTGAGGCCACCAGGAGCCAGGGATGTGGGGTCACAGCTGGCCATGTGTTCTGCAGGGGATGGTAGCTGCATTGTGTCCTCAATCTGGCCCTAGGTGCATGTGTCTCAGTGTGTGTGTGTGCATGGGTGAGCCTGCACTTCTGCAACCAGGCCACCCGACCTGGGCTCCGAGCTGGCCCAACCCTGAGACATAGGCACAGTAGCACCCAGGTGTCATTTGCTCCCAACGCCTGCTTCCTCCACCTGAACAAGGGGCTACTGTGCCATGTATGGGCTGAGTATTAAGGAGTTCACTGTGTAAAGGTCTGTGCTTGTGAGTTGGTATGCAGACGTGAGCAGTTGAGTGTGGACGTGGCACATATGGGGGCACCAGGGCACATGTGCCAGCTGCGGTGAGGAGGCAGGTTGTGAATGAAGAAAGAGATCTCTGTCTTGGTTTGTGTCTGTGTGCCTGTCCCTGCTCAGGGAAACCTCTCTGGTGGAGCCCAGGCTCTGTGCAGGTGGCCCTTGGTGCCCAGCTCCTCCCAGAGCCAGCAGGCTGCCATGCCTCCAAGCAGGAACAGTCATCCTCTTGGTCTAGTGGAGCATCCAAGATCATGGCCCCTGCTCAGGGCTCCATGTTCCCTGCTTGCAGTACGAGGCCATCATGGAGCGCATCCAGAAGAACAAGCTGTCACTTGACAAGAAGGCTACAGAGGTGAGGGGCATGCATATGGGGACACCAAGCTACACTTACCTCTACCCAGAATCCAGCTGCATGCCCAGCTGCTGGTGCTACAAGTGGATACTAGGGCCCCCAGGGCAGTGAAGGTGAACCAGAAACAGTCCCGAGGCACGTGTGCCATAGGTTTGCCTCCACTGTCCTAGTAGATCAGTGGCCTTCAGAGGTCCAAACGATCAGACAGAGCCCCACACAGTGGCCATGAGGTGACCACAGTCAGCTGGGGATCCTAGGACAAGGGAAGAGACTCTGGGTGGTATCCACAGGATGCCAGGAGGGAAGGGTGTTAGGGACCCCCAGGTGCCTCCTTGGGGACTACACACTGAAGCAGATGAGCTTGGCCAGGTGTGACTGCCCTATCCCAGTAGGAAGCACTCTGCCTCAAGGCTGCTTATCTCTGACTCTCAGGTCTCTGTCCCTGGTGGAGATGCCCCATGTCACCACAGCCCTACCAGGGACAGGGAGTCTGGGCTTGGGATGGGTGGCTCTGGGGGACCAGAACAGGACTGCCTGGCCCTCAGTCCCTATTTCCACACTCCAGTGTAAGAAAAGATACGAGCAGAAGTGTCGGGACGCGGATGACGCAGAACAGGCCTGCGAGCGCATCAGTGCCAGTGGAAACAGTGCCAGCCAGAAACTAGTGGAGAAGGTGCTTGGATCACAGGAGCCCACAGGCCCTGCAGGGTGGGGAGGGGAAGAGGCTTGTCCCTCTTAGACCCCAGACTCTGTGCAGTTTCCTAGAATCTCAGGGCCTGGATACAAGGTCCCCTGTCATCTCCAGCTGTATCTGGGACCCAGTCCTCAGGGTAGGCCCTGTACACCAGGAACAACAGTGTTTGGAGGCTACAGAGAAAGGACCCAAACCCAGGCCTTCCAGGCCCAGCTCTTGACCATTTGGGGCAGGGTGGAGGTGTCAAGAGCCCCCGGGCCCAGTACAATGTCACCTAGTGCACAGGCCCATGAGCCAAGGTTCCCAAGGGGCAGGGCCCATGGGTGGGTTAGAACAAGGAGGGCACCAGAGCCATGGACCCTATGGCCATGACTCCATCCTAGAGCCACAAGGCCAAGAGCTGAAGTCTCTGGCCTGTACCCTTTCCCTGGGGACCACTGGAGGAGGCTAAAGCAAATGATGCAAGGTACCTAGATCATCCTGAGATCCCCTGGGTGGTACAATGTGAAACTGTGGTGAGAGCTACTGCCCAGTGAACAGGCAGGGATTCAGTACAGCTCTCCTTGACCCTCCAGAGCCAGAACAAGGCCAAGCAGTATAAGGATGCAGTCACTGAGGCAGGTATGTAGGCCTGGGTCCTCCCTCCCACAGACAGCCCCTTTTACCAGATGAGGAAATTGAGCCATAAGAAAGCTAAGCAATTTGGATTCATGCACCTTGGGGAAAAAAAGAAAAAAAAAGCTAAGCAATATGTCCAAGTGCAAGCCTTCTGTCCTCCACTCAACACTAGAAAACCTCCTGGACACATGGCTCCCCCACCCAGCACGGTTCTCCATCTGTTCCACTAGCCCTGGCTGGGTACAGGTGACCAGAGACCAAGCCTGCAGGGTTCCTTGCCCAGCAGCTCCAATGTCCCCTTCAACCTCCTCTTGAGCATGGACTCTCTCTGAGCCTCAGTTTCCCATCTGGAAAGGGAATGCAAGACAAGCCAATGGCTTGGACTCTGCACTGTGTTCAGGGCCCCAGTCAGCCCTCGCAGAAAGAAGGGCTGCATCAACTCATGAGACCCTGCATGCAAAGCTCCTCTGGGGCTCCAGGTGGGGATAGGTCTGGGTTGTGGCCTCCCTGAGCCACCTGTGCTTGCAGAGAAGGTATATAAGCAGAGCATCGAGCAGCTGGAGAAGGTTCAGGTGGAGTGGGAGCAGGAGGACCAGACCACCTGCAAGGTGAGACCAGGCTGAAGCCTCTTGTTTCCCTGCTGCAGCCCTGACATGGTCGCTTTCTGAGCCTGAGCCGTTCCTGTCCCAGAGAACCTGGCTCTGTGCCCTAGCTTCCTGTCTTGCACTGTGGCTAAGGCTCAAGTGAAGCTGAGTTTTAGGCAAACTTCAGCTCCTGAGCCCTGCAACGGCCACCTGGGACCAGAGTTCAGGCTCAGGCCATGTGTTTTCTTGCTGGCCTCCTTGGGAGCCCCCAGGGGCTCACCCACCTCCTGGGAGCCAGAGAGGGGATAAGGGTGGGCTGGGGACCCTAAGAGTAGTCTTTCCGGCTTGTTAGATTCAGTGCCTGGCTGGTCAGCCCCACCTGGCCCACCCTGCAGTCCCTCCTGTCCCCCACAGGCCTTCCAGCTGCAGGAGTTGGACCGGCTGATCACCCTGCGCAATGCCCTGTGGGTGCACTGCAACCAGCTCTCCATGCAGTGCGTCAAGGATGATGAGGTGGGTGGCAGGTGGGAGGTGTCCAGGGCTGGTCTGCAGCCACTGGGCCCTCTGTGTGCCAGGCAGGAGTATGATCTCAGCCTTGCTCCCAGCATCCTAAGCATGCGGACTCTGAGCAGCACTTGGTGCTGCCTGTTGCCTCCAGGTCCCTGCGTTCACTCTGCCTGCAGCACTGCTTTATTGTGGGTTCATCCTTGCCCTTTTCTGAGTTTCCTACAAACAAGGTAGACATGACCCCTACACAGAAAGTGCTCAGGAAGCAGGAAGCTGTTGGCTGGGGCTCTGATGTCAGGAAGTCCTTCATTTCAAGGCCCTGGGTAGGGGCCCAAACAGCAGGTCTGCAGCCTCTGTCCTCTTTCACCACAGCTCTATGAGGAGATACGGCTGGCACTGGAAGGCTGCAATGTGGATGCTGACCTCAACAGCTTCCTCCAGGCCAAGGGCACAGGTACTAAGCCCCCGGGTAAGGCCCATCTGGCCTAGAAGGCTGCAGGGCTGTCTGGACCTAGGGTTGGGGAAGACTGGGTAGTGCAGTTCCTCCAAAGGTCAGGGCTGACGCAGTCCCACAGGTGGTGGGTCCCCGCCTGCTGCCTCCCTAAGGTGAGCACCCCAGGGTTCTCAGAAGAAAGATGAAGATGGGGATTGGAGGGAGGCCCCCAGCCCCATCCCAGCCTACTTGGTCCCAGCATATTCATCCGCTGTGGTGCCTGCAGTGGCACCCTCAGAAGAGTAGCAGAATTGGGGGCCAGTTTGTCGTAACAGGCGGATGCCCAGGTCCAGCCGCCCACCTTGGACCTCATGGGCATGCCCTCTCAGTCCCAGGGCCCTACCAGAATGACTACGACCAGGAGGTCGCCCTGTCAGCTGGCAGCCCTGGCGTGCAACCGTCTTGCGGCATGATAAAGAGGTGAGCAACCATGGCATCAGCAGGTGGAGTCAGGGGCTCTGCCACTCTCCCGTTGTCTATGTGGCACCTATGAGTGCAGGGAATTCCGGAGGCAGGATGTGCTCAGCCCAGCCTCAGGGGGTCTGGGGTACAGGGGTCTAGGCACTGCGTAATTACATCCCATTACTCACCATGACTGTGCCTTCATGCCAGCTTCCCGTCCCTTGGGGACCACTGTAAGCCTGGCTGGGCCCTGAATATCAGGCTGCAGTGGTGGCAGCCTCCATACACATGGGCTGGGGAGCAGAGCCTGCACCCTCAGAGCTCCTAAGGCCAGAAGCCAAGGTAATTGGGCTGGGCTGTGTGTGACCTGGGTCTGGCTGCTGAGGGTCACAGCCAGAGGGCTAGCTTGGTCCAGTCTGGTGACAGCCCCAGCAGGGTGTCACAGCAAGTGCTCCTGCCCCACAGGCATGGGGATCTGAGTGTTTTCAGCGATCCCACAGTGGCCTGAAGTGAACAGGGTTAGGATCTGAAGTGTCAGAGAAGAAAAAGGCACAGGAGTACACAAACACCCTTGGGGAGACGCCCCATAAGTCATGTGTATGCTAGATGCTGGGGGCCGAGCCCTGGCAGACATCCTGGTGCTCTGTGGCTCGCCTGCCTCACCTGCTCCCCCACCCCGCCAGGCAAGGGCACTCACTGCCTTTCTCCCCACCCAGGTTCTCTGGCCTGCTGCACGGAAGTCCAAAGACCACACCCTTGAAAGCTCGTGCGGGTAATAGGATGACTGCAGGGAGAGGGTCCCCAAACTATCTATGACTTCAGGGTGGGAGTGGGACCCATGTGGCAGACATAACCCCCAAGAAAGAATAGTCTCTCTCAATAGCAAGGAAGGTAGACAGGGTTACCAGGGATGGTCCTGAGAAAAAGGCCTGCCCAGCCTCACCTCTCAGCCTCCACAGAGACCCTGACACCCACACCTGAACGAAAGGAGTGTGTCTACGCGGACATCGCCATCCCCGTACAGGAGGCACCCGCCCAGGACTGTACAGCCCGGGACTACCGGGTGCTGTATGACTATGCAGCGCAGGTGGGGGCCAGCCCTGCTCTGTACTCATGTTGGGTTGGAGGGTTAGGCTCTGCCACTTGGCTCAGGGTCCTGCCTTGTGGCTACTAGTAGGGAGAACTACATGGCCAGAGTGGGTCCTTTGGCCATGCTGGGACTGATCAGCTATGTCCCCAAAGCCTGCTGGAGGCAGCTGAGGGTCTAGTCTACTCCCTGCGTGGAGGGGAGGGCTGCAGGGCAGTGGCCACTGCCTCTGCAGCCAGGGCCTGAGTGTGGGCTGTGGCATCCAAAGCCATGCAGGGACACAGACCCCAAGTCCAGTCCCCAGCAGGACACCAGGCCAGGACAATGACTGGGTGCCTTTGCATGAGTGGTAGCCAGAGTCAGTTACCTGGTGAGTCTTGAGCAAGAGCATCTGCTTGGCTCGGGTGGGCCGAGCACCTGACTCCCCTGTGCTCTGCCAGTAGCTGTAGCAGGCGGGGAGATACCTGCATCCTGCCTGCCTCCAAAGAGGTAGCCTGGGCCCAGTGCAGCTCAGCTGACTGCACCCCAATACGTACTCCTTGCTGGGGTGGGGTGCTGGGCCACAGCCCTCACAGGTCCCTCTGGTCTCACACTTGCTATCTCTGCCCAGAGTTCCGAGGAGCTGGACATCTCTGTGGGGGACATCCTGACAGTCATCCTGGAGGGGGAGGATGGCTGGTGGACAGTTGAACACAACGGACAGTGTGGCTTTGTCCCTGGGTCCTACCTGGAGAAGCTCTGATCGACCCATTCTGGCTGTGGCCAGGATGATGCTGGCTGCTCTCCAGGGGTTGGCTCCTGGGAATAAAGGTGTTCTTATCCTCCTCATCTGCTGGATCCCTTCATCAGAGGCAGAGGAGTGGGAACATAGTCCCACCAGCCCCAATCCCACTGGGGACAGAGAAGAGAGCTGGTCCCAGCTGCTGGAAACTGGCAAACCACTACAAGGACACTTGCACCTCTGGAACATGGTGGGATGGGATGGGAGACTAAGATTCCTGGGGCAGGATGGGTGGGTCTCTGGGGGGGCCTGCAGTCAAGATAGGCAAGCATGAGCACCAGCAAGGTGGGGGGCACACCCAGTCAGGCACGGTAAGTGGATGGGAAGTGGAGAGGTCGGTAGTAGATTCTGAGCTGGGCCTTAGGGATGTGAGGGTCTGCCCCAGCCTCACATGGAATGGGAGATGGCACACGGACAGGGCCCACACATGGCCCAAAACAGGCCCGACTAGGGACCCAGGGCATGTAGGCAGTAAGGTGGCAACAGGAGCACAGGCAGGCACCGGGTGTCACCTACTCCCTGAAAACACCTGTGGTCTTGATGGAGCACCCCATTCCACCACAACCGTTCTTTAGAAACCTTTGGCCTGGATATTCATCATCAGCTCTGACAGGCTCGGGGTGGCTGTGGGCCTGCTGGCTGAGAGGTAACAAGTGTTAAATGACAGCATGGTTCTCCAGTGTTTGGGCAGCCAGAGAACAAGCACCAGAGAAATCAAACCAAGTCAGACCCAGCCCCTCGGCAGTTTCCTCCCCCGATCCTCCGGCGCACAGGAGCTGACCTATGTGAAACTGGGTATGGACACCTGAAGCCTCTTCCTGACAGAGTGTGGGGCAGAGGGATGAGGTCAGAATGTCACTATCTGAAGCCAGCCATCACCTCCTTGGGTGATCCATCATGGTTTTTCTGGGACTCAATTTCATAATGAATAAGATGGGTTTAATAGAGCTATACAAGTTGTTATCCCCATACTGTTCAAATTAGACAACCGTCAAATCTTAATTAAAGCCAAGAGACTACCACTTAGGGAGGCTAAGGCAGGAGGATCCCAAGTTTAAGTCCTGACTGTGCAACTTGGTGAGACCTTGTCTCAAAATTAAACAACAGCTGGAGGGTTAGTTCAGTGGCACAAGTGCCTGCCTGGGAAACGTGAGGTCATGAGTTCGATCCCCAGCAGCAAAATAAAATATAAAATTAAATTAAATTAAATTTAAACAATAAGTTGGGGATGCAGCTCAAAGGCTTGATCTGTAGTTAATGCGAGAAGAAAAACAAAAAGCAAGGGATGGCCACTTTTCACAAGGTCTACATCCTCCAAACTGCAACCATTCTCATCAGCAGCTCTCAGCTTAGCACATTCTAGAACAGGAGTGGCTGTGTCACTGGGCCTTGCCTGATGGTGGTAAGACTGAAACAACACTGGTGTCCACACTGAACCCCCATATCCTACAGCATTCTAGTCCAGGTGGCCCTGGCAGAAAGGCATCCTTGGCCTGGTCAGGCGGAACCTGGATCTCTGCTTCCCACCCTGGGATGGGAACACAGCACATGGGTCTTAGAAAAGGCACTGAGTAATTCCCTCAGGAGAACCCAGAGGCACCACAATTAAAACAAACCAGGGGACAAATATTTTTATGAACTAGGAAGTGTGCAGGATACAAGACCAACACACAAAGTAGATGCCCCCACACACCACAGTCCACTAGGAAATGCAGGAGTTATTCCACTCACAGTAGCAACAGACTGAGCTTCACAGAGCCCAAGTGAACTCTACAGATCCGCAAAAAATAACCAAGACAATAGCCTATAACCCGGAGCAAGAGAAAGGCAAGCGTGGTGGCCCATACCTGTAATCCCAGCACTTGGGAGGCTGAGGCAGGAGGATCACAGTGAGTTCAAGACCAGTTTGGGCTCCATACTGAGAAGAGAAAAAAAAAACAACCAACCCAGAAAGACAATCAAGCTGAACCAAAACAAAAACTGGGCAAAGGATAGAAAGTGAAAACCTAGGAGATAACAACAGCAGAAACACTTTTGGGCCTGACTTAACACTCAAATACATACGTACTTTCACCTGCCAGACTGGAATTAGAGATGAAGGCTGGTAACACTAGAAGCATCAATGAGGGTCAGTAAATGCATCCTTTAATGTAGAAACTGGGAAGATAAACTCGTTATCCTCCTGGAGAGCAACTGGCCAGATCTATGAAAAATTTACATATAGTTTTTGGTACAGAGTAAATTCATTATGCAGTCAAAATCTCCCCATGAGCTTGTACAAATGCACAGCACACAGTGATGAAGGGGCCTGGAACCAGCACAGGGGGTAGCAGTTTGCATGTTACTCTGTAGCAGATGTGCATCAACTAGCAATGCCTGCCCAAGGTTCTCATCCAGAAAGAGGTTCTCATCGACGGTCTACAAAGGACATCCCCTCGACCACAGCCCTTACTGCCTAGCCATGTGACGGCTGTCCTGGCAACTGGGCCATTTCTTGGGCATGGGATAAACATACACGGTGCACAGTTGTAGGAACGTACAATATGAACAACTATGTACAGTGTGGGCCAGATATGGTAAAACATTGTTACTGGTTTATGGGCTTAATATACTAGACTTTAGGTGTGTTCCGTCTCCAGTCCATGGGCCACTTGTGCTTTTTTAAAAATGCCAATATTCTTGGTGAATATTTTGGGGAAAAAATGCCATTAATAAAAACATTTTTAAAAGTTTTGTGACGGGGGTGGGGATTTAGCTCAGTGGCATAAGCGTCTGCCTTGCAAGCATGTGGTCATGAGTTCGATCCCTGGTACCAGTTTAAAAAAAAAAAAAAAGTTTTGTGACATATATTAGCTTTATTATGCACGTTACATGCAGCCCAGGACAATTCAGCATCACTTGATGTGGTCGAGACAAGCAAAAGGCTGGTCACTGTTGCTTGAGAGCACAGCCCTGTAATCCGTACACTAGTACACTGCCAGCAGGTGTGACCACACCACAGCACCTCTGATGTCGTGTTCACCAAGTGTCCTAACTGCAGCAGGGCCATGAGGGGTGACTGACTACCACCCAGCCTTGCTAAGTACACTCTCCAACGTTCACACCATGACAGAAGCGACTGACCACACGCTCTCAGAACCTATTCCTATTAGGTGCTGCATGATTGCACAGATGGTGCTGTTCACAGCAGCAAAGCTGAAGCAGCTCAAGGGCTGTCCGTTGTTAACTGTGGTATTACTGTATCTGCCCAACTGACAAAGTAAGCATGAATCCTACACTCCAGCTCAGCAAGATGACCACAGTGTTGTGAAGAGATCCTGTGGAATAAACTTCCAGTAACTTCAAAACCAAAACCAAAACCAACCACAAAGCCTGTTTCTGTCTATGCAGAAGAGGCTGGAAAGACATACATCACTCCTAACTGGCTCAACTGTGTGCGCCTTGTTCTTTAGAGATCCACGCTATCACTTCAGTGTGTGTGTATGTACATAGCACTGGGTAGGGGATGAATTTAGGGCCTTCTCACTGAGCCACATCTCCAGCCTTTTGTATTTTTTACCAGGAGACAGGATTTGAGTTGCCCAGGCTGGGCTCAAGCTTACCATTTTCCTGCCTGGCTCTATTAACTTTTTTTAAAGCACCAATTATTTTCGCTAAAAAAAATTTTCTGAAAAAGATAAAGACAAAAATCTATCAATAAGACAAAAAGAACTGATCTGAGCTACAAAAGGGAGATGGATCACAGACAAGTGTCAGAAGCAATAGAAGCACTTCACACAATGCAGGGTCATGGAGCAATTTGAAGGGGCTCACTGGCCCAAGTATTTCAGGAAGCCCCCCAATCATAGCCAGCTGACAGGAGCAGGACTCCATCGGTCTCTGTGGGTGTAAGTAGACATACAGAAAAGGCAGTGAGGAAGACAGGGTGGACAGCCTGGCAAACGGGGACAGCACTGGACCACAGCACTGAGCCCGGAAAGATCGTCTAGGGTAAGGCAGTACTGGGTGCCAGCCCTGGCGGGCGGGCTGTTTATACCATCAATGCTTATGGCTACAGAGATGCTTAAAGGTTGGAAGGGAAACAGCCACTCCACCACTTCAGGGATCCTCTATTCAAATTCACCTTGCCTGGTCACATTGATGGGAGGACATTGCTCTGGTGCCTGGCCACAGGGCACTGAAGGGGTGGTGGTGTCAAGGAAGAACTCTGTTTCTGGTACGTACACACAGTTTCCACAGCATCCTTTACGGCAGGTTTTGTCTCTGTGGCTTCACTCACAGTGGGCGCGCCTCTAGTGAGCTTTTCTTCTGCACAGGGCAGTTTCCCTGGAGCAGTTTCCTCCTAAGCTGTCTTACAGGGGTTTTTTAGTAGTTAACCACGTTTTACACAGTGAACAGTTATCAAATTTTTCCTGTTTACACTTTCTCATTAGATCAGGTGACTAATTAACATCATTAGGATGGGGCACGCAGACGTTGTGATTTCCCAACATGGTATCAGCAACACACAGGACTTGAACTGTGTTCCAGCTATCTGGAATGCCACAGCTAACCCAATCTGCAGGAAACAGATAAACCTAAAGTTGCAACATTTAAAATAACAGACTGTGTGCTTCCTCAATGTCAATGCTATAAGAGACAAAACTATGGAAATGCTTCACATGTAAGATAGTCCTAGACAGATCCAGGACTGCAGGGGAACTGCAACAGACACCTCGAGGTCAGCTGGGATGTGAGGGGTAGGTTGCTGTGTCACTGCTGGATGCACTGACTTTGGTAACGATACTGTGACCTGGGAGACATCTTTATTCTTAGGAAATAGCCACCGAATTACCATGAACAACAGCCCAGGCCTTATGTGGCAAAAGCAAACAAGCACATAGGCAAAAATACGATCATAAGTCAAATGGGACAAATATTAGCAGATACAGCTGGGTAAAGGACACTTGGGCCTCTTAATACAGTTTTTATCCTTGTAACTTTTCTGTGAGTTTGAAATTATTTCCAAATAAAATCTTTTTTTAAAAAAGGCAATAGGCTATTATCAGCAACTTTTAGTCTGTCGCTGGTAGCACTAGGGTGCACCCTGGCACCCGGTACCCTGGCACCTGCTTACCATGCCTGCATTGAGTGCTCCCTTATGCTTCCTTAAAAGTGAATGCTACAGCTTCTCAAGGTCATGCAAACCTCAGGGTTTAGCTCCATGAATGGGTGGACTACAGGAGGTAAGCATGCAGGGACTGAATCTGATGGCACTGGTCACTTTGGAAAAGCTCTTCCAGTGGTTCCCAGGTAACGCAAAACTACTTTTCCAAAATAAAGAGTGCTGGGAACTAAACATTACCTAAACCCAATGCCATCAGTGTAGCTTCACTGCTAACAAGGCTGAACTGGATCCAGTCGGCAGAGCAGGGGAGAAACAGTCTTCTCCCAGGTAGCAGGAAAGGGTACATAGGACAGGTCTGCCTATCTGGTAGTTGAAAGAATAGCTGTCTATCTCCAACTTCTTTCCCTCACCACGCAGGTGAGGCTGCAGGCACAAGAGTTGCTTATTCCATGTCATGCCCTTGCGTCCCCTCCTCCCGCAAACCCTGTGTAACCTCCAGGCCCAGGCTCTGCTCCAGAAGTTGTCTTCAAGGCTCCAGGCACCTTGTGCTCTTTCTTCCTCTACCACTGCACTGTATGGAAATCACTTGCTTCTGTGCATCTTCAGGGCCAGGACTCCCAACTCCCTGAGGGCAAGGACAGCTTCTCTTGGTGTCTCTTGGCCTAGCACAGAGCATTCCATTATTTATAAATATGCTAGACAGGAAAGCATCAGGAGTGTTTTGAATACCAAGGCTTTTAGAATTTGGCAGCAGATATAATGAAAACAGGCAAATGAGACAATGCTAGTATTTGAAACATTACACTAATTGAAACATCCCCAAAATAATAAAAACTATTGAGGGCTGATACAGAGTTTATTGAATTAGAATTTTCTATTTACAATTGAGATCCACATCTACATACTATTCTGCTTGTCTACATGAGTACATTACCTTTAACGAGTTTAAGACTTATGATGGTGGGCTCGGTCACACACACTCACGCATTGTTTTACAATAGTAGTGCATACACTACACTCCTCCTGTAAAGCCAGTTTTGATTAAAAACCACTAATTTCAAAGACCAGTCTGATTCTGAAGATGAACAAAGATACACGCTGTGTGATCTAAAATCTATCTTAGCCGCTTTGTACAGTTGCTACCTTATTGGACTACAGTATATATCTGTAAAGGACACCGATGAGGGGCACCATCTGGTGTTCGTTTTACCAGACAGCTGGCTTCCTCTCCTCCCGCCAAAGCCTCTAGGCATGAGTTCTCCATTGTGAAGACAGAAAGGACCCAGCAGTCCCATAGCAGAGTCCCATCACTACTTGGAGGCCACAGAAGCAGCCCTAACCCGCCTCTATCCTACCACACTATACAACTTGCAAATAGTTCTGAAATAAGAACATTGACTGTCAAACTTAAAACCCACGGAAATACAGTGTCAGCTAGAATGAGGCAAAGAAAGCCATGGGCGGGAAACTAAGTGGGTGGGTATGAAAAGCCAAGGTGCTCTGCCCAACACCAGCATTCATGCGCTTCAACCAGAGAACTCGGAGCCAGCACAGTGGACCTGCTCAGTCCACCTCTAAGCCACGCAAGACTGAGGGCTCAGGCTGGGCCTCTGCTAGGCGTAGGTACCCCCGGTGATGAGGAGCTCGTAGGCAGGGTCTCTACTCCTCCTGCACAGCACGATGCAGGCGCACAGCATGCCCAGCAGCTGCAGAGAAAGAACAACGAGAAAGGCTGAAAGTCCCTTTAGGATCAATGTCCTGAAATCATCAAAAAACAGTAACGGTGAAAGGAAGAGTTTCTGATAAATACAGTATTTTCAAAGGAATGAAATACTAAGTGTCAGCTTCCTCATTTCACACCAGGGAACCTGATGAAACAGAATCAGGGTCCTTAGTGTCTCCACCAACCCACTGCCATCCAAAGAAGCATCTATAGCGGTGGGACCTTCTCTGTGTGCCCTGTGCCCCACATGGTAGCACCAGCCACAGGCAGCCACTCAACATTTGAAACGCAGCTGGCACTGCTAAGGAATGACGCTTTATGTTTTCATTTTAATTAGATACATATAGGTAAGTGCTTCCACGGCAGGTAGCAAAGGCCTAGGGAGGAAATGACCAAGACAACTCACACATATGGGGTCTTTTCAATCATCTCCATCTTGGGAGGACAACAGGCTTTGTGACCACCACACCACTCAGTATCCCAGCAGCCCTGTGCTGGACCCTACTCCGGATGCCAGAAATGCAGTCTGACATTTTTTCACATTTCCTATTTTTGAAATCAAGGTATGGTTCTGTGGCATTAGATAATCACACACTTTTTTTAAAGCTCACTCTTCCTTCCTCGTTTTATTTTCATAGACTCTAATCTTTCTATGGTAGCATACTGAACCAGTAATAAAGTCACATCCTGCTACTTTATTTACATAAGCAAGATGGTTAAGCTATGTCAAGGAGAAAATGATTCTAGAAGTTTTGACCTAGTTTACACAGAACACTCTAAACAGTAATCAAAGGACTAAATAAACATGACCTTGCTGTTCCCACCCCTCACTGACAGTGAAGACCTGAGTTACTCAATTTTTAAGTGCAGAGCCCTGCATATATGGGATCAATGTAATCTCAGCAAAATATACCTCACCCCTTAGCAGACTCTGAGCCCAAGGTTGGAGGCGATCACTAAGTACAGAGAAGGAGGGCATCCCCACCCAGCCCTCCACGGCTCACTGCTGCATACTTAGGTCTCATCCTTCCTTGAGTCTGGACTCTACAGCTTAGGACACAGAACTGCTTGCTGTCCACTCCACGGCTCCAGGATGTGCTGATGCTTCCTCATGCACGTAACCCCTTAGAGACACTTGGGAGAACCGATTCAACAGCTGAACCCAATGCTAGAGCTAGACACAGTCAGTGTCTAACTCCTGAAGAATACATTTCTGTTCATCATCCCATTGGAATAGTCTTATAGCTATAAAATCAAACACAATTGGCTCCCAGGCACTAGTAAACTGGGCATCAAAAAAAAATGCTTAACTTAGAAACTACTGATTTGCTAGGGGAAAAAATTCCTACTCCCTCCTTATGTTCTTTTCAGGGGGTTCACCTCTGCTGGAGAGTCAGCACTCACTGAAGCAAGTTCCACTTCTTTCCTGACTCATTTGAATTAAATCAACTTGTATTGATCTAAAAACAACTTAAAAGGCACAATAGGGTCAGGAATATAGCTCAGTGGCACAAGTATGTGCCTGGTAAGTGCAAGGTCCTGAGTTCAATTCCCAGTACCAAACAAAGAAAGAAAGAAACACACAGCATAAAACTTTACACCAGGTGTGGTGGCATACGACTGCAATCATGGCACTCTGAGAGGCCAAGATTGGAGCATCTCAAGTTCCAGCCCAGACTGGGTAACACAGTAAGTAAGACCCTGTCTCAAAGTGAAAAATAAAGCAAGTGAGATGGGCATGGAGGTCAGTGTGAACTCTGTGTATTCAATCCCCAATCTCTCTCAACTGCACATGCATGCCCACATACCCCTCTGAGAACAAGTCTAAGGACAGCAAACTTGCATAATTACTTATCCTCATCAATGATATCATAGGACCATTTCCAAAGCCTTGCTATACTGAAATTTTCAACAACAGATTTAGAAAATACTATATGAATATCTTAGCTCCAATGTTATTTCTTCCAATGGTAACTTCCACTGCAATATGTAAATATGTAATCTACCTAACCACATATACCAGCAACTGTAAAACAAAATCTAAAAACCAAACCAAAACAAACACATCAAAACATCTTACTAAATACAAAGATGAACAGTGATTTATAAAACTGATTGCCAAAGTAAAATGTCCTATGACATTCTATGCAGGTGGCAAGAGTGGGGAAATAGGTCTTATTCAAGCATAAGAATTCTTTCATATTGGAGAAACCCTGGAAAAAAACTTTTGAACTACTGTCAAAATTCACTGCTATGTTCCAACCCTTGGGTCATAGTTATAAATTTTTGCTAGATCATAAATATGCACAACAGAGGATATCCACTACTTCCATTTTTGTGATAGTGAGACTTACATAATAGCTCATTAAAGTCAATTAGATAAATTATATCCATAAAACAGAAACACAGCTCTGGTAACAAAACAGATCTATAAGATACTAATTTGTTTTTAAGAAGGTGTAAATGAGAAGATGCCATTTATATAACACCTTGAAATGACAAATCTTTAGAACTAGAGGTGTGATTATCAGTTGTCAAGGTGAAGGGAAGAAGGTGGCACTGCTGTGAAAAACAGTGGGGGAACTCTGTCGGACAGGAAGCACTCAGTACTTGGAAGGCAGTGCAGTCTGAAGCCTACACCAGCCACAAGCTCTAAGGACCCAAGCACGTGTGTGCTGACTTGAACAGACCCATGGCTCACACTTCAGTCTTGCCAAGGCACCATTAAAGGACAGCAGGCAAAACACATAAGGGTGCTCTATTATGTCTCATGACTGCACTATACAATCTTCACTGCTTTCTATGTACAAACTATTTAAGCAGTAAGTACAAACTGCTTTTGGAAGGATGCATGGAAACTGACAGCACTGGCTTTATAGAGGGAGACTGGGATCAACACAGAGAGAGGCCTATAACCTTTAAATAGAAAACATAACTGGTCATTTGATAATTCAAAAGGCTGACGTTGCAGAGAAGTGAGACATCTTGTTTAATAACGCAGCTAAAATGTAAAAACCTCACTTACTTATATTCAAAACTCTTGTTGTAGTAGTTAACTAGTATTTTTCAGATTTTTCTTTCTTGGTCATTTTGGTCCTACCTGAACCTACACTGTTTAACTAGACTAGAACAAGGGTCAGCCAATGTTTTTTCTAAAGGCCATGTTTCTTCTTCTTCTTCTTTTTTTTACCGGTACCAGGGATCGAACTCATGTGCTTACAAGGCAGGTGCTTATACTGCTGCACTAAATCCCCAGCCCTAAAAGGCCATGTTTCTAAATATTTTAGGGTTTGCAAGCTAGGAGACAAAATCAGCCTCTGCTTCAACCAGTCTGCCACTCTATCTCATTTTGTCCAGCTAACATGTCAACAGTGAGTATTCCTAAGAGACTTAGAATCTAACTTTCTGAGAACCTGAGTTCTCAGATCTGTAATTGGAGACAGCACAATGGAATGTGGGCTCAAGCTTTAGTTTTACCACTCTCTGTGAGATGGTCATAGTTATATTATCCTTGCTCCTTCTCATATTTGTTGCAAAACAAAGGAGAAAAGAATAGAAAATCTCTTAAGCATTCTTTTTTGCTTTAAATTCTGTATTGGGATTGATGTATAAGCACAAAAACTCACAAATATGAGTTAGCTCTGCTTTTGTTCTGTTTTCCTATACCGAGAACACGATCTGTACCAGCTTTTGAATACCAAAAGCATATAAAACCCAAAATGTGTAAATTTTATTGTAAAAAAGAGAAGGGAAAAAAAGTGCTCTAAAAGATACAACAGCAAGTGTGTTTAGGGGTGTTAAATAGCTGACCATATTAATGTTTTTGGTTGGATCATTGAACACAACTGTTTGCAGTCTCACTGTTTGAATGTCCACTTTGTATGCTTTGATACTGTGACTTGAGCAACTATCTCTAAGATGATAATATGTAATCTATTAACTGGTGATTTCTTACTGTTTTTGTTTTTTTGTAGTTCTGTATTACTTGTACCATTACACCGCTTTGTTTTGTTTTATTTTTTCTCTTTTTCCTTTTAAATAAAATTTAAAAAAACATACCAAAAGCATAGAACATTTACAGGCACTCTTAGCATATAAAATTCTCTTGCCATTTTAAATGTATGCATTTTTTCCCTTAAAAATCAAAGTTTTTCACTTTCAAAACCACTAGGTTTTGAGCCTGTGAATGCTCTGGATCCTTGCCTTACCCTTGTTAAACTGAAAATATCTAATTTTTACCAGCTATTACTTAACTCATAAGTAACTTATGAGCTTAACTCATATTTAAGCATAAAATAGTTGTGGCAAACACACTTAAATTAGGAAACTAGTTAAAATATTTATTAGCTCCCTCTGAGAAATATTTAGTGAAGATAAATATCTGGCTGGCTAATAAGCTTAATGAGATGAGGGACACGGCTAAAGTGGCGCTTTTCAGCAGTCTTCTACACACACAGACTGCCCACACCAAGATTCCACATGGGAAAAGACTTCTCCCATTTTTTGTAGCTAAATGATTTTGTTTGCACGGACAATCTAAATATGAAATATCTCCCTGTTGATCACAAGACTACTGCTACATAGTGCCACAAAGCAAATGCTTAGAAGGGTAGAGACCATACCAAATACAGGGAGGCTTTTTAATGAATTGTTTCTGGGCTGTTTGAACACCATCAAAATAAACAATCACCTCTTTGCCATTTCACAGGCTCTTCCCATTAAAAATATTAGCTTCTGTTCAAGTTTCCAAACAGCAGGCAATACGAGTAAATTTAATTTACCTTTACACCAGCAATTATATCGGTTTTAATCTAATAATTAAAAATCTACACTTTCTAAAGGCTATTTCAGGATCTATCAAAATATTCTGAAAACTAGATTTGGTGCCAAAGATTTCAACTGTTTTCAAATACTTGGCTATTTTCATCTGTAAGAATCATCTAAGACATTCCCTTAACAAAATCCCTAACAGACAACAGTATGTACCTGAGCAGACAGGAGTGTGGATAGATGTGCTGGGTAGAAAAGTGACTATTATCTATCTTTATGTGGGGAGAGGGAGAGGTGTACTTTTATGTATTCATTTGTTTATTTTTGCAGAGTGGGAGGGGGAACACCCAAGAACAGATAAAAGTGAGAGGTTAATTAAACAATTACCAGTTAATTCATAACTATTCTTAGGGCAGAAAAAGACTGCTTACAATGGTAGGAGTTGGGAAAACAGGTTCTCTCAGGTACCAGCAATGGCAATGTCAAGGACTTCTAGGTGGTTGTCATTTTAAAAGAACTTTCTATAAATACAAAAGGAGCTAGAATCCCAGTTTGTATGTATGCACATATTTATTGGGTTTTTTGAGACAAGGTTTTGCTATACACCTCATGGTGGCCTTAAACTATGTGGTCCAGGCTGACACTGAATTTGTGGCAATCCCTCGCCTCAGCCTCCTGAGTGTTGTGATTATAGCAGTGCACCACCATGCCCAAGGAGAACCTGTTTTAATGGGAGATCTTTTCTGTAAAGCAATACAGATGTTTCTTTTAGAATGAGAGGATACTGTTTTTGATTTAGGCCGTGTATACCAAAACCCTCAAATAGCTGGGTGCAGTTGTGTCACCTGTTGTCTCAGCTACTGAGGAGGCTGAAGCAGGCAGCTAACTTGAGCCCAAAAGTTCCAGACCAGCCTAGGCAACACAGCAGGACATATGGAATCAACCACACAATCAACCAACAGTCAATAAACCCTCAAGTACTATACTACCCTGGGCAGCACAGCAACAGCCTGTCTCAAACAGACTCTCAAGAACTAGAAAGTATATACTAAAAGGCTGGAAATAAAGCTTTCCATCTCCAAACTGAAATAAAGCAGAATTTTAAAAGTTCCGTGATGTCCTACTAAGATACCTTCCAAGAATATACTATGATAACTGTTTATATTTTGAACAGATCACTCACTAGTCAAAGGAAAAAGTAAAGCAAAGATAGATCCTTTGCCTACAGTCTCTCCCAACCCCAGATCTCTGGATTCTTTAGACCATTCTGGTTTTAGGCCTACAATCAAGAGGCTGGTACTGCAATCACTTCTAAGTTACCAATACATACCAAGATTCACTCTCCTTGGTGACTGAACTCATTCAGACTGACAGCTGAAAACAGCCAAGCATGACCCCAGTTCCCAGGCCAGCTGTGCTTGAGCTTACCTGGATGGCTGCAAAGGCCAACGCTGCCCAGATGACATGCATCATAATCTCCTGCAGCTTCTTCACAACCAAAGCCTCGCACCCCTGCAACACAGTCAAGTCATCCTTGTCAGGAGTCGTTTTTCAAAGTATAAGCTACAGTCACAGATTACTACGCATTGGCAGCAATGAAAAAAAGAGAAACTCAAAACAGAGAAAACAAAACAAAACAAAACAAAACAAAGAATATGTGATTAGAATAACTTTTACAGAAATGCAACTAAAACAAAAGACAGTATGTTACAACAAAGTGGCACTAAAAAAGAACAGAGATAGAAAGAAGTTTCAGTTAGGAAGGACACAGTGAACATCACAGGAGGTCATTAGAAGGGACCCTGGTCCCTGCCACAGCTCACCTCAGCATAGAGGTAGGAGGGGTTGGCCAGGCTGCCGTTACAGTTGCTTGCAGTCTCTCTGCAGCAGCTAAGAGGGACACTCTGGTTTTTGGTTTCTTTGAACCAATCTGTGTTTTCCCAGTCTGAGTAGTTATGAATTCCACAACAGTGCAGCTGGAGGACAACATAGGCATTACTTACTTCTTACCAAACATGTATGCTTGGCTTGAGTTTTAGCATACCACAGAGCTTTAAAATGCTTGTTTCAGCAGCACATATGCTAAAAACTGGAGAGCTACTCGAGATGTCTACAAGGTCCTACATGCAGCCACCAGCCACAGGGGCTAACTTGAGCACTCACAATAAGGGACCAAGATTTTCATTTTAAACAGCAACACAAGCTCCACATGAAAAGCATACTGCCTACAAGAGATGCTTCCAAGCTAAGGAAAATCTTCCTGTTTTGTACACTGAACATCTGTCTGGTTCTGAGTTAAATTATTTCCAGTGACAAAGTTATTTAAAATGTTTTCTCTGTAATGTCTAAGAGTTGTTTCAACACTCTTAAGATAAAAATGTACAGGTAGCAGATGAAATAAGACTGATAAAAAGCTGGCAACTGAGGCAAAATTACTGGTGCAAAAATCTATATAAGTACAAAAATCCACTTTTACATGTATTTCAAAACACATACATATGCGTTTTTTAAAACATTTTTGTCTGTTGTTCTTTCTGACCCTGTTTTCTATAGGTTCCTGCAAACCTCTCTCACTTCTCACAGAATCCACCTGGATTCCCACTTTCCTGGAGTACATACTTTCTTTCTCTGCCATCTATCTAGTTAATCGTCCTGGTGGGGGAGTCAGATAATTTTAAAACGTTTAAGATACTTCTTCCTTGCCTTGACTAGGTAATGGACGCAGAACAAACTTTAAAGGTGTAGACCGGAGCAAAAGATCACACAGACCCTGAGGTTCTTCACAGCTGTGAAGGCACACAGCCCAGGCAGTAGCAGCAGAGCTCTTTTCATGCTGCCCTGGAAAGAGCAGCCCTCACACACCCTGACATCAAGCAGGCTTACCTGCCTCTGCACATAGTCAATAGCACGACTGGCGGCATCGGGGTTGGTTCCATTGTAAGTCTTATACACCTTCTGAATACTGCGGTCAACCTCATTTTCGACCTGAACCAAAACAAAGAACTCAGTCTTTCCAATATATTGTTAAAAAGAACACGAGTCAAAGGTGATGTCTATGTGGCAGTTCCAATTTGCCAGAACTCTCTAGATTAATTTTAGTGGGGGTGGGGTGTTTCCCTTTCTATCTCTCTACAGATTCATTTTATTTTTCCTGTTTTTGGTACCAGGGATTGAACTCATGACCTCGTACTTGCCAGGAAGATGCTTATGCCGCTGAGCTAAATCCCCGATCCCGTTTCTCTACAGATTCAAACTGACAGGAGAAAGTTCAGACATTCTATCACAGAGATTAAAAATACTCAAAGCTGGCATGTAAGCTGGCACGCGAACAATCTGTTCAGGAAAAAGCAAGCAACTAAGCACTGGGAAGGATATCCTAAACTGCAGATGGATCCTTTCATTTGGCAAATAAATTTTCAGTGTTTCCCTGATGACCCACTCACTTTCCTTTCCTAAAAGATGTAAAAATCAAATGACTGTGAAGCCTTCATATTTTCAAAACAAATACTATCAGTATTGATTTTATCTTTCAGTGTTTAGATTTAACCAAATACACAAAAGTAATTAGCAGGTAAAAACAGGTCCTTAGAAGTAGCACTTTAAGGCCAGGGACTTAGCTCAGTGGCATAAGTGCCTGCCTGGCAAGTGCAAGGCCGTGAGTTTGATCTCCGGTACCACAAAAAAATAAAAATAAATAAATAAAAAAAAAAAAGTAGCATTTCATGTGAATGCAGCTGTGTTTTCCCACTGTACGTAAAATGGGGCAGGAAATGAACTTCCTACTGCCCATTAAAAGAGTGGTGAGCAAGCAGCATTTAATGGAAGTCTACTTGTACCAGATTCTCTTATTGGTCTCTAAAGCAACTGATTTGGTAATTAAAACAGTGATGTGATGAAATATTCATCTAATAACTGGGTCACTGGTAGAGACATATTTGGGGGCACAGTTACACAATCTCTTTCTTCTCCAGGAACTGTTTGATTATCCACTTGGTGTAGGATGCCTTTGACTTTAAACTGAAAATTAAAATGAGAATGACTCTACATTTATAATGGTTCTAAAATTACACCATAATTAATTTAAAATAGCCTGTGTAGTCTTAGGTACTTTAGATGGGAAGCAAAAGCAAAACAGGAAAGGGAAAGAAGAGGGAATGATCAAGAAAAGGGAAGGAGAAGCCAGGAAGTATTGACAGCACTGCCTTGGTACTCCAGTCAGCAAGAGTGTAGTCCCCAGGGCTGGTGGTAGGAAAATCCCAACTCAACGCATCTTTCCTATGTCTAGGACAGAGACATTTTTTTCAAAGTAGTACTGTAAAATGAACTCAGAACACAAAGTCTATATCCATTCCCCTCAATGTGGAGACTCCATTAACAGGAATTCTGAATAAACCCTCAGCTGATCATCTACTTATTTGCAGTTCACCGTGAGATAATTTAAAGAAAGTTAAACACCATAATCAAAAACAACAGAATTTGTACTCTGCTATATTAAACGAGGTTAGCAGTCTTGCTACGTAAACACTTTTAACTTCAGACATTTTGAAACAACAGCTCAACAGAAATAAGGCAAAAGAAAAGCTAGCTCTGATAAAATAAACTGGTTCTATTTTACGTGAAAAACCTACATCACCACTTATATCATTATGTGAATCACAACAGACAACATACCTTTGCTCTGTAAACGTATCCCAAAACTACTACGACAACTTCTGTGACAAAAACTAAGAGCAGGATGATGACAAACTGTAAGAAAATATTGTAAAAAATTAAGCAAGAGTGAAAAAATAAATCTAAATATTCTTGCTAAAAAAGCAATTATGAGATCTTTTGCAAAAGGGAAGGGGATTAAAAGAAGAATGAAGATGTGCTAAGTCCAAGTACCAACTTCACATGAGAAATATAGTCATTATTTACTGTAAACATGTACTAACAGAAAAAACAAAAGAGTCATTTTAATGTTCTTAAAGACAACTGTAAATTAAAAAGACAAAAGCAATTATTAGGAACAACTCCTAGAGGCTTTTTTAGCACAAGTACCAACTCCGTTCCACTATAGGAGCCTTGGAGTCTACCATGCTTCATGCTTAATACTGGAAGCAGTGACACAGACGAGAGCCCTGTGGGGATATTAAGTGCCCGGTGAGGCACAGGCTTACCGTAGCGAGTCCGCAGTGGCTTTCCCGGATTGTGGCACAGCAGCCAATGAGCCCAATAATGAAAAGCAGGGCTCCGACAGCGATGATCACCACGGCAGGGATGAGCGTGTAAACATCCTCAAAGAAGTGGTCGTAGTCGTCATAGGTGATGAAGACATAAGCGCCTACATAGCACAAAATGCCAGCTGCCCCCTGTCAAAAACCAAAAGTCAGAGCACAGTTACCTCCAGAGGGGCCACACAACCTTTCACTTCTCTACTCTGCAAATCACACAGCACAGCAACCCGGCACCTAGCAATACCAGTCAAGACTGACTTGGGTTCACCTCACCTAACCTCTTCCCCTGAATCTGTCCTCGTATATCCATCGCACACACCTTCTCTTCCATCCAAAGTCCCCCACACCCCAAGTAGTTTCACTATGCTTCTTGGGATGGCTTCAAACTCCTGGCCTCAGCCTAGGACTACAGGTATACACCACCATTCCGGGCTCCTACAGTTTTTTGTACACTATTTGAACATGACTTAGTAGCTTAATTCTGCTTACTGAACTCTGATGGCCATCACACTCATGATACATCAGTTTATAAATGGCACTTGACAGTAAAAATAAATGCTGCACTTACAATGTGCATTCGAAGGCCTTGACACTCAGGCTTTTGGGGAATGTTACTATAAGAGGAAGACAAGCAAAGGAGAGAAAAGAGAAGAAACAGACTAGTTTGGTGCATTTATTACAAATGTATGTGACTGCTGAAATAAATGCCCTTTTATTAAAATACTATTTTTTCTTGGCTATACACACACATGCATATAAGCATAACACACTTTGCTAAAGTGATCAGTCCTCAGGCTAAATCACAAGAAATCCTAAATATGAATTAATCAAGTTGTGCCCTGTATGTTTTCACTAATTGTCCATCCTTAAGATTCTTAACTTCTTTTTTTTTACTCTAAAGGTGATATTTCTTAAAAGGCACAAATTGAAGTGAATTTGAATACTCACTTTGGCAGCACATACACTAAAATCAATTCTATTTCTAAGCTTCTAGTAAATGAAGTCTGTTTTGTTTTTAGGTTGCCTCCTGACTTCTAGGTTCAAGCAACTCCCCCACCTCACTTTCCCGACTAGCTGGCACTACAAGTACACATCAGTATGCCCAGCTAGTAAATGCAGCCTACAAAATCTGAATGAAAAAGACATCTGGGGGATATGTGTATAACAATTAACCCATTTATGCCAAAGATTAAAATTTTTTAATTTCTTCAAGAAATTCGTATGTTACCTAGAAAAGTCCAAGGAACAAGAATTTGAAGAGAAATGGACCCCTAGATATTAAAGAGTTATTTGAAAGTACAGGGCCTGGAAGAACTAGCACTATAGAGAGCAAATGATGAGTTTTCTGCTGCCTGGGAATGGGCCAAGTGAAATGTTTCCTGCACTGCCCCTCCACTCCAAAAAGCAGCAGAAAACTTAACAGGTGCGGTCAGACTCAAACAAATGCCAACGAAGGCCAGGAAGAGGTAATGTTTTTGCGCGTGCTTATCCTCATCAAATTGATAGGATAGTTTCTTTTCCCATGCTGCAAACCAGTTAACGTTACTTACACAGCAAAGTTAAGAATCTTAGAGTTCTATTTTGGCAACATATAGGAGGGAGCTACATTCCAGTTACATGTGCCAAAGTGCAAACTGCTAATATGAAACTATAAATCAAATTGCTTGTAAATATAACCTAAATCGTTTCCTAAATTGAAGACAACTTCAAAATTTTCTTCTTTTAATTAAATCTGTTTATGGTGCTTTTATCTTCAGCTATGAAATACTTGTGAATGTCACCAGTTTCTCTGACATTATAGAGCAAGCATCTGAACAGCTGAAGACCTAAAAACAGCACAGAGCAACTGCCTTAATGACATCCAGCTGGTGATATGAGACCCACCCTAAGGACTGGGACAATGTGCAAGACAGGAGGGAGACACAAGCAATTCCTACCTAGTGTACACAGGGACCTTCAGCCACTTAGACTTTTAAGTAGAACTTGTGGCTACTAGAAAAGCTAAATAGAAGGTGAAAGTGTTAAATTCTCCTACTAAAGGCTGTAATGTGACTGGAAATTACCAAATGATCTGGGCTTTGCCAGTCACACCGTTGCAGAAAAGCAGGGGAGAGGGGCCGAGGGCAACAGGACAGAGGAGAAGAGAGGAATGAGAAATGGATGCAGCTGAATGCTACAGTCACTGCGGGGGAACCTGAGCCTGTGAGAAGGAGCCACGCCAGGGCTAAAAATATTCATCCATTTCCATTTCACAAGAGGTGAAAGGAGCTCTAGGGGAAAGGCTGACATCAGAAACTACAGGAAGAGTAATTTTAAAAATCATTTCCCTTTACCCTTTAATATGACAATGCTTCCAATTAAGTCACAGGATTTTAAAACTTAAGGAGGGCCAGCGCTTTTCCATGAACCAAGCTATTCTTGAATTGTAAAAGTATCCTATTTCATTTATATTTTTTAGCATTCTATATATGCAAATGTGGAATCTCTTAAAGAAATTTCAATCTAATGTAAGTGCTTTTTTGATGTTTAGAAAGTAGTCTGAGAAAGTCATTCAAATTTTCTTTTAAAAAATAACAGGAGGGCCAGGGATTTAGCTCAGTGGTACCTGCTGCCTGGCAAGCGCAGGGTCATGAGTTCAATCCCTGGTACCAAAAATACAACAACAACAAAAAACCAACTCTGGAGCTGTAATACATCTTTACAGTAAAGAGCAAGCTGCCATCAATCCCCCTCAACATCCTTCCCCTGGCTCCAACAGGCCCAGGCCCATTGTCACCTCTCAGAAGCAGATCTGGCTGTCCTTTCTTGTCCTTACAAGATATGTTCAAACACAGTGAATGCTACTGCTGAGTGTCATCCAAAGGAAAGGCAGCTTCATAAAAGCATTACAGGACATCCTCATCCACCTTCTCCACCACATCTGGCACTGTGTGACCTCTGGCTCTTCCTCAAAGTCAAATGAGCATGAAAAGGAAACATTTTAAATTGATTCAGGACACTGAGGCAGCCACAATAGCACAACTAAAGACACTCATGGAAGACTTCCAGAACTGCTCCAGGAAGTGGCACAAATGGGCCTTTTTGAAGTGAGGAGGATTTTGACAGGGCTTACAACATTTCTTTCCCATCCAAGTACTAACCAGGCCCGACCCTGCTTAGCTTCCGAGATCAGACGAGATCGGGCACGTTCAGTGTGGTATAGCCATAGACGACCATTTCTTTCAATAATAAAGTTTTAAAATAGTTGGGCACTTATTTATAACCCCACTGATTAGGAGGCTGAGGTAGGACATTTTCTTCAAGTCTGAGGGTGACCTAAATTACAAAGCAAGACTGTGACTCAAATTAAAAATATTAAATATTCACTACTTTTTTTTATCATGCTTGGTAGCCTGACTAGTTTATATGCCTAACTTTTCTCCAAAGAATCAGTAGTAATGCTATACAGTACATATTTGAAAGCTTCCCCAAATTCTATCCTTGTACTATTACAAGTAACTTAAAAATCTTACATCTTTTAGTCCAAATGTATCTTGTTTATTAAACTCTGATTTACTGATAAAACTTTGTCACTAAACACAATCACTCCTTTTACTAAGCCATCACCTACACATTTCATTTACTCTATCAACTTCGAAGAGAAATTTTCAGAAATTAAAGCTAGGCTTTATCAAACACTCCTAAAGCTAATAAAATAATGACATTTTCCACCTAAAACTTGGTCAGTAACAGCCAAGCAGTATTCTAAAAAAAGTGAGGATGCAAGTTAACAAAGAATAACCTGCAATCCACATTAGGTCTAGGTTATGTTTTTATGCTTATTAATTCCACTCCCAGGAATTTATCCTTAGATTCTTACAAATAAGGCAGATGGAAACAAAGAGTTGTGCAGAGTGTATGCCCAATCATACCAAAATCATAACAACAAACACAGAAGTCCTAAACGGGTATGCTTGTGTTATAACCCTGAAATATTCTGATAAAGCATTACTTAGTACAGAATGTTTGTTGTATACGAAGGGAAAAATACATGTATGTATGCAAAGAAATTTTTAAAACCCAAAATGTTAATATTAGTTTCTCTGGGTGGTGGAATTATAGGTATTAGTTTTTTAAAAATAACTTTTAGTGGGCTGGGGATTTAGTTCAGTGGCATAAGCACCTGCCTTGCAAGCAGGCGGTCATGAGTTCGATCCCCAATACCGATTTAAAAAAAAAAAAAAAAAAAACCTTTTAGTGTCTTCCTAAATACATGTGTATACACATAGATCTTACAACAGAAAAATATTTTCAACTGTTTGAAACTGAGATGGTTTTCAAATGAATGACTTCCTAGATGTTCTAAACTACCCACATAAAGCAGATTATCTTAGATCCAAATATATTAGGCACCTGCCTATTTACCAGTTTTCCTCAGTCTACATAGACTTGATTCACTGATTGTTTTTTATTGCATAACATGATTCTGATTCTTTCAGTACATCTTATCTTTTTTCATAAATATCACCAAATAGATAGTTTTTAAAATCCTACTTGGACCAGGATGTAAAGCATTGCCACTTTCATCATCAATGTCACTGCCATCATTATCCTTACTCTTAAATAAGAAATATTTTAATCCTTTTAAACTGCTATTACTCAAATTGTATTTTAAAGATCATGATCCTTACTCAGCTCTATTTTAATTTTTCTGTATTTAGATGGATGTTTGTCATCACTGTTTATCTAGCTTAACACTGCATATGTCAGAGGGTCAGGTGTTGGCCCTTAACAATATGCAGGAAGAGCTTCTGAAGGGTTAACAAAGTTGTTCTGTTTAATACAATTCATACCTACCAGTAGAAAGAATCAAAAGCTCAGGTGGCAGTGAAACAAGATCAACCAGTTGCCACAACCAAATTATGTTAACATATAAAATGGCTACTTTCAGACTTACAGATTTTGGGGTCAAAAGTGCGAATTTAAGTGGAATTTTCTTTCAGACTCTTAAACTGTCTTGAATCTTTGTTGCCCTATCCTACTCAACCACAGAGTCATTATTACAGGATTCTAGACTACTTAAGTTTTACATGACAGTTTGTCTAGGCTTGGGTTATGTGTTTAATTCAGTGGCATCAACAATATAAATATGTCAATATTTACTCCCAAAAGTAGATTAAAGACAAACATATAAATGAAGATAATTTTTCTTATCTATTGATCTGCCACACTATTAAAAGGAATGGGGTAAAGAAGGGGATGAGAAGTAGTATTTTTAAAAGAAGATCTGAGGCCACCTGTGAGTACTGGAGGACAGCTAAAACTAGAGACATTCAAGGAAAAGTTTGCTCTCAATTAGCTGTCAGACAGAGGGAACTTATTTCTTCACTCTGTTGCTCCACAATGAGCAGGGGAAGATATTCAACGTTCACTTAGTAAGCCAATGATTCTTAGGGCATACTTGTTTGGTGCCAAGTACAAACTTTAAGGAATAAATTTTCTGCAAAAAACCCCAACCTGAATTTGATTTTATGGAATGTAATTCAGTAACATCTTTCTTTTTTCTGGTACCAGGGATCGAACTCATGACCTTGTGCCTAACAGGCAGATGCTTAAGCCCCTGAACTTAAGTCCCCAGCCCACATATTTCAAAGAATAATAAATACTCAAAAAGCTACTATGCAATCTGTTTCTTTAACTGCAACCAAAGAGCACTATTCTAAGTTCCACATATTACTCAGGGTCACTGGGCAGTTGGTCAGCAGACACAAGACCAAGACTGGAAAGACTCAACTGTCAAAGAAGCCAGTGACGCAGCTCAGGGGCATAGTAGCTGCCCGGCAAGCAGAAGATTCTGAGTTTGATTCCTGTTACACACACACACACACACACACACACACACACACACACAAAGACCAAATTAAGAAATCTATTTGCAATATGCATCATGAGTGGCTCTTAACAAAGTTTTTCTCCTAGGAAATTCAAAGGCAAGCACAGGGGAAAAAAAAAAAGTTAGCCTACGGTGTTTTCTAGTAATATAACCTGTCACGACACATACAAAACAGGAAAAATTAAGGAGAAAAGCAACTTTCATAGTTGGGCATGGTAGCACATGTCTGAGATTTCAACACACTGGAAGGCTGAGGCAGAAGTATGTCAAGTTCCAGCCTACCTAGACAACAGGAGGAGACTGTTTCAAAATCAAGCCTCCATGCCCCTCCTTATCAGGTATCAAGAAAAACAACTTCTAGGATGTAAAACTGCAAAACTCTGCATTACCAACTCAAATTTTAAGGATGTGCTAGAAAACACAACCTATACACAAAATTTGTGAAAAAATGGAAAACACTTGGATTATTTCATTATAATTCTATTTCCCAAAGAAAAGCATGAAGGTATAGGATTTCTCTTGGAAATTTGAACATGGCAAGTGCATCCTGGCCTCAGGGTCCACAGGCTGCTCCTGCAGTTTTGAATCCTCCACCTCTTCAATTCGCCCCAACCTGGTAACTTCTTACATGCTATATTAAATGTCACCTTGCTGGAGAAGCTTTCTCTGCCAACCTAAAGCTGATCTCCATCACACTGCCCTCTTTTAATTCTCCACACTAAACAGATAATCTGTCTTAGTTCAGTAAGAACAGGTGTCTTCCTTGTCTTTCACATTTGCTATACAACACAAGCACAAGTACTATCACTCAAATACACTACCACCTCTTAGAGCAGAAGAAACACAACCACCTATACAGGTATCACAAGTGTAGATAGCCCCTGTAACACTTAAGATAAACACATGCCAAAAATAAATACTAGGCAACTGGTTTTTCTAATAAGGTAGAAAAATAAATCTACCTAAGTCTTCACTACTCAATTAACCTAACAGAATAAAACATGGTGTTACAAAGTACCAATTTAAACTTGTTTTAGATGAGGTCTTCTGGGTCAGATCAAATGAATTACCAAATTAGGAATCCTGCTTTACCTTGGTACAAAGACTATAGAACAGGCTAGTGACTATTTATTACAATAGCTTTCAAAACTTAGTCATTTACCTCAAACACTGCTAATCTTTAATAAGTGATCATGAGTCTAGTATTAAGACATTAAAGTCACACCACTCTGATCCTGGTTGTAGTGGTGCACATCTGTAATCTCAGTACTCAGGAAGCTAACGCAAGAGAACTGCAGAAATTTAAGGCCAGCCTGAACTATATAGGGAGACCCTGTCTCAAAAATAACAAAATTACACCATCCCATTAAAAAAGATTCAAGTTGTACATCCTTTCACTTGTCCAAAATTTTCTATCAAGCTACCAACCAGAACTAACATTCTGGAATTTGGTGAAAAACCTTTTACTTCCATTAAGACAATTTTCAAAAAATTTTAAATGATTATTTCTTGTTCTAATTACTGCCTCTGCAAAGTGCCATTCTTAAAACACTCCACTGTTCAAAACTATATACACCAAACCCGAGTATTTCTGGAACAATCCATTTTCCAGTTTGCTCAATGAACAAACTGCCAACAGAACCAGGCTATTAAGATGTAAAGTGTGGGCTGGGAATTTAGCTCAGTGGCATAAGCACCTGCCTTATAAGTGTGCTGCCCTAAGTTCGATCCCTGGTACCGATAGAAAAAGAGACTTTGCCAAAGAATTAAATCTAACAACAATCAGCCACTACAACTGGTAGTGAAAAGCCAATGTAACAAAATCTTTACTAAAGCTGTGCAAGGGAACCTAATTTTTGAAAGGCTCTTTGTAGAGAACGCTTACTTGTCCACTTAATACATTCAAGGCATTAAAAGGTGGGTGGAGCCATTATCATAAGAAGGTACTTATCAGAACTAAATGTATCACAACTTCCCATGAAGAAATGGTTAACTTTTTTAAAAAAGCATACTTCCTTGTTGGCACTTTTTTATACAAATTTAAATGCTATACAACTTGTTCTAACACCACTTGCTGTTAACTCAGTAAACTTTAATGTCCTCATCTGTAAAATAAGCATGGTAACACTCCCAGACTGGCACGTAATGCTCAAATGTTAGTTATTATTATCATCAAATTCCAACAGTTTGTCTGTAAAACTAATGATATGTTAGATGACACACCTAATAATGTGTCCCTCATTGGTTATGTGGCATTGTATCACAATTTTTCCTCCTTCATCTCTGCCCAATTTTCTCACCACAGGACCCAAGTTTTCCCATTCTACTACAGGATACTTGTTATTAAACCCTATGATTTCAATTTTAGCAATAACCCACTAAGAAGTTCAACAACACGACCAACTTTATTGGAATAAATGATAATAGTACATACTTCCCCTAACAAAATTTCAGAAGATTCCTGAGCAATCATTTAATCTTTTAGAGCAAGTAAAAATCTGTGTGTTGCATTATTTTCTAACATTAACACGACCTTCAGTTCTGAATTTGAATAGCCTAGAGTTCACATAATACATATTTTTCAAAAACGGAATATACCCAGAAAATCAAGTTATGCCCAAAGCCAAGTTTCTGCCTCTTAAATGTCTCACTGCCTAACACAGAGTCTCACTTGGAGATCCCTGTATATTACTTTTCCTTTTAAAAAGGCCTGAAACTCAAAACTCATGAGAAATATTGCCTTACTTGGAAAAGAAATCAGGGAACTCCCAAGCCCACACGGAGAATTTTGAACAGGATCTATATCACCCAGAGGACTTTTCCCTTTGCACCACAAATCCCCCCAAAGTAAGTGCCTTATAATGTATAACTATGCTTTCAGGCCACAACAGTCACAAATAGAAGGCTTCATTTCTTTGTTAGGGAGTCGAAGGAATGACATACATTTGTGGGAGGGAGGACCTGAATACAGGCCGGACACAAAAGTTTGGTGAGTGGGAATGTTAAAGCAGTGTTGTGGGCACTGTGGACACAGAGACTGTTCAGCAAGCAAATACTTAAGACAAAGCTCAGGCCAGTTGGGCCCCAAAACTCAGCTGCAATACAGGTGAAGTAGCTAAACTTTATTTCCCTACTAAAGCTGTTTTGTTTTTCGGGAAAAGAAAGCGATGTGATAAGAGGGTGTGTTTTCAAGATTCATCCGGGTGCAAGGTCCAGATGGCCTGGAGGGTGGAGACTGTGACAGAAACAACACACGTTATCACAAAAGTGCCAGGCAAAATAAACACCTGGACTAAAGATGGCATGCTTATAAACCCTTTTCTTTAACGGCAGCTCCAAGTAAAATTCATAAGCTGCCTTTCACGGAAAAGTACTAATGACTTCAAAATTCTGTGACACCTGAGTCACATTCAACCTTCGTTTATAACCTCAGGCTATAAACCCCTACCCCCGCCGCCGCCCCACGACCAAATCAAAGACAACGATTTTCCTGGTCCAGTTCTTTGACTTCCCAAGTTGACCTCATCCGTTTCTGGGCTGATGAGTTGCCAACTGGTTCTCCGTACACAAAGAGCTTGAAGTTGGAGCCCTTACTGGGCTCAGCAGCGCCCTGCGGATCCGCAAGGATGGCCTGCCTGGGCTCGGCGGGGCTTAGGCAGAGCGGAACTCGGCCTCGAACAGAATCTGGGTCGAGTCTGGGTCCGCACAGGAACAGCGCCCGCCAGCGGGCGGCTCGGACAGGGGTCCCGCACTGAGCCAGCAAGCCCCTGGGGGAGAAGCGGTGAGCCCCCGCCTCTCTCCCGACTTGGGCCTCTTTAATGCCGGGAACGACCCCGCGACGCAGCCTCGGGCCGAACCCTCCCGCTTCCGGCTGGAGACCCCGCCGAGACCTTCCCTTCCGCCTGGCGGCGGCCCCGCTCACCCAAAAGATGAGGTTGAGGAAGACCAGCACGGTCTTCGAGGAGGTGATGCCGCACTGGCCCATGGCGCCAGCGGCCGCGGACCCCCAGCGGCCAGCGGGGCGGCGCTCCCGAGCGCGGCGGCAATGGCGGCGGCGCCTCCCCGCCGGAAGCTGTTCGGCTTGCGCCGCGCCCCCTGTAGACCCCCGCGTAGCGCGGCCCAGCAAGCACCGCGCGCCTCGGCGCAGCCGCCACAGTCCCCCGGGTGGTTCCCTAGCAACCCCTCCTGTCACCCACCCCGCGCGGCCTTGACAGCCGCTTCAGCCAATCACTCTCGCGGAGCGGGAGCGAGGCCTCGCCTCTTAAAGGATCCAAAGCCTCTGCCCTTTGCTTGGCCTCTGGTCGCCCTTGGATTCTAATGGATATTTTGAGAAGCTCTAGGCCATGTAGATGATTTAGAGCCCGCACAGCGCTGTCTTTCTACCTAGCCCACTCTTTCTTAGAAAGGCTAGAAACCATCAGCACTTGGGAGAGAAGCAGTGAAGTCGTGTTAATGGAGAATTTACTGTGCCAGACTCTCATCCAGCTCTCAGGAAAGCTACCGGAATGGAAAAGGCTAGCGACCGAGTTGGCAAGGCTGAGATGGGCAAGGTGACTGTCTAGTCTAATCCTGGGCAGTAAACTTTGAACCGAGATTTTTAATATTAATAAAGCATTTCTTTTACACTGCAGTATTTCACACTCGTCCCTCAATCTGAGGTGAAGACTACATATTTGTACCTTGTGCCACACCATGCGTTGTTGTACCCTAAGAAAATAGCTTTGTTATATGTGTATTATAGCAAACCTGTATAGGGGCTTACTAAATGTGTTTGTTTTATCCTTTTTCCCTAACTGATATGTTAAGGGACCTAATTGATCTGTTGAGCAACACTCTCCTCTGTAAAGAATTGCAAGAATCTCACCTAATTGATATGTTAACCATTGTTGCTCTCTACAAACTACAGAAGCTGTGCTAAAACAAGCTAACAAGGGTTGTTAATCACTGCTAGGAGCCTCTATTCTCCGCTAAAGAGCTAAGGAAAACTAAAATGGCAATTAATTTACATTTGTTTAAAGTAACCTGCTTGTGTGCAGAGAGATTTGCGTGTGAGTTCAACCCTTTACCCTGACCTTGACACATTACCGCCGTTTTCTGTTCTGTATGGCGCCTTATTGCCTCCCTCTCCCCTCACCTATCTATCTAGGCCATAAAGAATTTGGGTTTCTGGTGACCTCCCCCCGACCCGGTGATGATCTGTTGTAAAATGAGCCTGCCCCAATTTTAAGAACTGCTTAGCTTAAACAAATTACCGGGTAATACTATGGCCCAAACCCCAATCGGTGCTTTCCTTTTGTTCTGTATGTATCAAATGAGTCAGATATCAGGTCTTTGTAAAACTTAAGTTCCAGCCTCTCATAACTTGTGACCCCTTCGCACTCACTAGTGAAGACAAGCTGTCCTGAGATAATTAACTCTCCACTTTCTTCTCCAAATATTGCTGCAGACGTGCCACTCTGAGATAATGTCAGTCTGCAGGATGGGAGTAATTTAAAAAACACCAGGAACTCCCTAGACTGTCAGAGCTAAATAGACAGCAATACAGTTTCCAGACTCGGGTCAACAAGTTTGATGGCTCTACAGGTTTCTTTGTTTCTCTCCCCCCGCCCTTTCCTCCAGCCCCTTTTTAAAGTCCTCCCTTCAGCTTCTAGGGGACGGTCTCCAAATTGGCTCCCGGAGACTGGTCGCCAGGCCTGGAAATAAAGCCTTTGCCACTAAATTTTCGGTCTCTTGCCTCCTTGGATTTTATACCGGGGCTCAAGTTATAACATTTGGGGGCTCGTCCGGGATGGAAGCAAGACCCCAGACTCATTTCTGAACATTTGAAAGTAAGTGCTCTGGAGGATTTGTTTGGGCCGCGGTCAACTTGTAATTTTGAGGGGACGCCCTCAATTTGGGAGCGGGAACCACCCAAGGACAGAGTCAGTTGGTTTGTAGGACAAATTCTGTCCATTTGTGACTCTGCCCCGGGTGGGGAACAGCTCCGTTTGGAAGGGGACGCCCTTAATTTGGGAAGTGAAACCTCCTGAGGACAGAGTCAATTGGTTTTTGCCATTTGTGACTCTGCCCCGGGTGAGGAACCACTCTGTTGGTTAATTTGTTAATTCTTCCAGATCCCAAAATTTGACTAATTTTTGGGCAAAGGCCATTTTTGCTGCAGCTTGTCTCGTCTTGTATGTCTGTTTGTTTGTCCATTTGTTCTAATTGTTCTCCTTTTGGTTACCCTAAATCTAACAGAACATTCTCTCCTAGGAACCCCTTCTATGAGCCCAGAATGGACAAAGGGATTTAGATATTGATGTGCAGTGTTTTTGTTCTTTAAAATTGTTTGCCTGTTTGGATTTGTTACTAACTTAGGGGCTTGTTGCCCATTTCTGTTGCAGGATCCATATGGCTTATTAGATTCAAGCTTCATAATAAGAAAAATTATTTCCTTTAGCTCACCAAACTGTGCAAAAAGCACCCTTTGTTTGTGTCTTTAATGTTGTGGCGCCTTGTTTAATATGTAAGTCTTCAACTGATTGCTTGCAACCTTGGCATGCCTTTTAAAAGGAATATTTTTCTTTCTGGTTAAAAAGTAAATATATGTGCACATATATGTGTATATTTATGGTTTTTAAAAATCATATCAACTTTACCAAGTAAAAACCAGGTCATACTGTAATTGAGCCAGTTAAAAGGTTATAGCTTTAAAAAACCCAGCATTTTAATGTGGTAAAAAGACATAAAATTAATTAAATATGTTTTAGACTACTAAAAGGTAACTTCAAGGGTTTTGTTGAGAGTTTTAATGTTGTCTGAGAAGCGAAAAAAAAAAAAAAAGATAATTGACTGGTGATAGTAAAAAGGAGGGACAAAGAAAGTGGTTTGTCTTCAAGTAAAATGTCTGCTGTGCCAAAATGTAAAAAAAAAGATAAAACTTAGAGGTATATTGTAAGTTATAAAAAGCTCGAGATGATATAAATTTTGTCTTGGTTTATAGTACTGAAGACCACAGGTTTGACAAGAAGTAAATGTGTTCAAAGTTTGACAGTATTGGATCAGTTTTGATAGATTTATTTATAAGATTCTAAACCTTTGCTGCAAAGTGTTTCCATTAATATGAGATTATAGATGATAAAAGAGATAAGATATAAGTTTTCACATGTGCTGTGGACCTCTGGGAGATTATATGGCACAATTTTGTTACCTATGAAAAAGCTTCTTTTTATTAAGTATGTAATTTTAATAAAATGATGGCCTGCCAGGTGGCACCCTGGGACAAAAGGTGGTGTGCCATCCAGATAAAGCCTGCTCTCTGATATGGAATGCCAAAACCATGTTGTCCTTTTGTCCCAAGCCGATTGGACATCCAGAGGTAAGGAGGTTTCCCTAGTATCGCCAGTTGGTCTCTTTGCAACTCAGTCGGCCCCACATGTTAGAAAAAAGATTACAAAGGTTTGAGAGTTTAAAAAAAAAAATGCCCCTCAGCCAGTTGATGGAGATAGCACAAAAGGTCTTTTAAAACTAAAAAAATTACCGTCTACTGGGAAATTTGTCCAGCGTACCTGAGTCCTCACAACTGACTTAGAGTTAAAACTGTTGGGCAAATGGAATCAGGAGATTCCAGAAGTCTGGGCAGAAGACAATCCTCCAGGGCTAGCAGTCAGCCAAGTCCCCCTTCTGATGGAGCTCTTACCCCAAGCATGCCCCTTCTGCTTGTGACAATACCCGATAAGCCTGCAGGCCCGGAAAGGGATTTAAAGTCCACATGCAGAGGCTAAGAGACAATGATATTCTCATTCCTTGTGTCTCTCCCTGGAACATGCCCTTGCTTCTAGTCACTGAAGCCAGGGACAAACAACTATCGCTCTGTACAGGATCTCGGAGAGGTTAATGCATGAGTTCTGAGTCTATACCCAACAGTGCCAAATCCTGAGAACACCTGGTACTCTGTTCTGGACCTGAAAGTTGCTTTCTTCACTTTGCCTCTTACTCTGGTGAGTCAATTTTTTTTTGCCTTTAAATGGACTGACCCAGATACAGGGGTAAAAGAACAGCTGACCCGGACACATTTACCTCAGGGTTACAAGAACTCTCCCACTCTTTTTGATGAGACATTAACAAGAGACCTTTTAAAATTTAAGAAAAAAACACCCTGAGATAGTGCTCCTCCAGCACATAGATGACTTGTTAATAGCCTCGACCCCCACAGAAGCTTGTAAGCTTGTCAAGAGACAACTGAGAAACTGTTAAGGACTTTGGGGCAATTAGGCTATAAAGTCTCGACTAAAAGGGCACAATTGTGCTGTCAGGCTGTGACTCATCTGGACTACAAATTGCAAAAAAAAAAAAAAAAAAAAAGGAGGATTTTGTCTAAAAAAAGTGTCCAGGCTATATTGCAGATCCCATTCCCAGAAACTAAGAAACAGGTGCGCGAATTTCTGGGAGCTGTCGGATACTCCAGGCTGTGGATTCTAAATTTTACTGAAACAGCTCACCCCCTGTAGGGCTCCCTTAAGGGAAAAACTCACTAAACTGGACTGATAAATGTAAACTGGACCTTGCGGCAGCTCAAGTGGGCCTTGACAGAGGCCCCAGCCCTGGGACTCCCTGATGTTGCCAAGCCATTCACCTTGTTCGTAGATGAACTCAGGGGCATTGCCAAAGGAGTCCTAACCCAGGACATTGGCTCTTAAAAGAGGCCTATAGCCCTATCTTTCCAAAAGGCTCAATCCAGTAACAAGAGGGTGGCCTCCATGCCTAAAATTCTGGCCGCTGTGGCAATGCTACTTAAAAGAGGCCAAAAAAAAAAAAAAAAACCCTCACTTTTGGACAGAAGATTTCTATAGTGACCTCCCACAGTTTAGAGACTCTTATCAAAACCCCTCCCGAAAATGTGAGTGCTAGAATCTCACACTATTAGGCCCTGCTCCTAGACCCAGAATTGGTAGTTTTCAAGACTTCTTCAACTTTAAACCCCGCCACCCTTATGCCTGACAACGACCTGAGGAATTTCACAGATGGAAGCAGCTTCATCCAGAACGGCAGAGGCAGATGAGTGGCCGGGGCAGCAGTGACCACCAAAAGGAGGTACTCTGGGTTAAGCGGTTAGAGCCTGGCATCTCTGCCAAAAGGTGGAGCTCATTGCTTT